AAATACAAATATTAGCCCCTATTATTGTTCACCAATACTATATAAAATATTGACTTATTTTTCAATATATGTATGATGTTTTTTAAAGCATAAAGGACAGGCTATGTCACAACAAAGTACAACATTATATTTGCTACACCAAATCTGGCTTTGTGGCAGATTTTTTTATTTATTTTAATATTTTGGTTATTACTACTATTTTTTGTTTCCCATCTGCACCAAACACATGCTACATGGTCCATTCTCCATTCTGGATAATGATCTACACCAGAAAGATGAATAACGGGAAGTTTAAAATTTTTGCCTACAATTAAGGTTGAGTTATTATTCAAACATTGCTTATTTATTTTTTTATCATTATTTAATGCATCGTCAATAAAATTCCATGCTAGTTGCAACATAAATTGTCGATATTTAAGAACTCTATCTAAAAGAAATAAAGCTTATTAATTAGTATATAAAATGATACTAATATTAAAGCTTAGATAAAATAAGCTAAATAATTTACCATTTTTCTGATAGATAATGTATGAATTTACTATGGCTGTATCAATTAGCCAAAATAGTAATAGCATCCAAGTATGTGAAGCAGTAAGCTGACAATTGTAATAAGATCGATATTGGTTAGCAATATTAACTCCATTCATAAAATGATATCTAAATTCGAACACCTCTAGCATTAATACCAGTTTTAATAAATACAAAATATTCTAAAATTAGATAAAATCTAATTAGTAATCTTGGTACTATACTTAGTAGTTTGCATCAAAAGTAAATTTGAAGGACTATAGATATATAGTAATATCTAATGAGATAGTACTTTGATATAAATAATAATTAGATATCTCTAACCTGATATATCACTTAATGGTAATATAAGTATTGTATATATATACAAAATAGTATTAAAAATCAAAAAGTTTAAATAGAGAACCCAAAGATAGGTCTCAAATATAATATTTAGTAAATAACCTATAAGTATAACTCTTAATTACATTGAGGGTGTGGCGACTTAGTGAAGTGGTCAAGTTGTTACCCCCAAGTGGCAGGTCTAGAGTTCAATTCCTACCGGCGACGATTATTGAATATCAAAAACTTGTATATCTCTGAT